AGCATTACATGGATTGGCAAATAGGCCAATCAGAGAAGCCCTTGACGGCAGCAGGAACCACTCTCATTGGTTCCAAACTCCGTACTCCGATTGGTTGTTATCTGTTGGGTGTGGTTTTGCCCGTTCAAATTATATATAAGTCAGCATTGTTCTATGTATCTTTGTCTAGTGTTGTTATGAGCTGAAGAAGATTAAATCACTCAATTCATAATACCCCCGGCAACAGACACCCTGTGAAGTAGGTAGGGCTGAGAGAGCTCTTTGTCTAGTGTTGTTATGAGCTGAAGAAGATTAAATCACTCAATTCATAATACCCCCGGCAACAGACACCCTGTGAAGTAGGTAGGGCTGAGAGAGCTCTGAGAGAACTGCTCTTGAGAGAACATGTAACTGACCCAAGGTCACTCAGCAGCTGCATGTGGAGGAGTGGGGGGATCAAACCCGATTCTTCAGAAGAACCACTCATAACCAGTGTTCCCTCTAAGCTGAGTTAGTGTGAGCTAGCTCACAGTTTTTTAACCTCCAGCTCACACATTTTTGTCTTAGTTCAGGAAGGCTGACTCCAGAGCAAACTGATTTATGCAGTAGCCAAATTACCTGCTCACAACTTTAATGCTAGTAGCTCACAAAGTAGAATTTTTGCTCACAAGACTCCACAGCTTAGAGGGAACATTGCTCATAACCACTACACCAAACTGACTCTATAAAAGGTGCTACATGTCACAGAGGAGACCTGAGCCTCTGACCATAAGCCAGGATCCAACAGCACCCCCAAGTGACGAATCTGCTCTTTCAGGACAAGTGTTACCCCCCTCTAAGATGGGGTGACTTCTCAGTCATTGAGCAACTTTGCCGCTGATCAATAGCACCTCAGTCCTGTCTGTACTGAGCTTCAGTTTATTGACCTTCAGCCATCTCATTATTTTACTATTTCCAGGCACCTGCTAAGGACTTTGTTATGTCTTAAGTTAATAAAGCAATGTTTAGCTTAAGCATAAGTTCCATAAAACAAAGCAGTGTTTGGATTGAAGAACTAACCAATCAGAGAAGCCTGTGTTTTCTGCAGGAGCCACTTTCATAGGTTCCAAGCCCAGTAATTCTATTGGTTGTTATCTATTGTTGGGTGTGGTTTACTCCTGTTCAAATTTTTTTTGTCAGCCTGGTTCTATGCATTTTTGTCTTGTGTTGTTATGAGCTGAATAAACATGAATCACTTCTTTGAGAGCTGCCTCGATCTCAGTTCATAATAGACTTCCACAGTTACAGCCACTACTCCATGTAAACGATCTGTCGGGCAGCTAACAACACTTTTTCATTTTCTTTTAGGACACTTTTAACTTGCAGTGCACTTTAAACTTCCATGCAATATGGACTCAAAGCAGCTTACAATGTACAAAACACACAAAAGACAATCAGATTTCACATACAAGCAAAGTAAGCATGTTTCACAATTATGACTTTCTATTAACAAAGTAGTTCATGAGGCAGAGCAGGGGGCAACCGCTTTGCCTTTGTTGAAACAGACAGGCAGACACTCACTTCCTTCCCTCCTCCTAGAAGGCAACTTCCTTTATAGTTCCAGGAGCTGGGGGCGGGGCAGAGCAGCAGGGGACAACAGCTCTGCCCTTGATGAAGCAGCCTCTCTCCAGACAGCTACACATTCACTTTCTTTTCCTAAAACAACATGGTGAAACTAGAGAAAATAAAATCAAATAATTTACAATAGCATCACATATAAATTTAGGAAATATCCTATTCTGTTCCGTTTTCTTACACAGAGAATTCAATATCCTAATCCATTCCAGTCTCACCTGAAATCACAGAGCCTCACAACTGAAATATTTATTACAGGATTCACAGCAAGCCTCTCTCTGCCTCTTCCTCCTCCCTTCCCCCCTGCCCTTCTGTAATTTCTGCTATAAAAATGTGAAACATGATTTCCTTCTTTTGAAGAAGTGAACTCTGACTCATGAAACGTCATGCTGGAATAAATGTTGTTAATCCTTAAAGTATCAGTGGACTTCTGTTTTATTAGTCCTGAGGGCATACAAGAATAATAAATAATATTTAATTCCATGGTCCCATCTAACAATTTGGATCACATTTATTATTATGTACTTTTATGGTTATGTACTCTTCTGTCTTTTTTCAAGGAGCTCATAGCAGTGTATATAGAATTTGTAGGTAGTCTCTCTTTCAGGCTCTGACCACCTTCAGACAATGCCTCTGTGGCAATTTGCCTTACTCCTTTAGAAGTGGCCTGAAGACCTGTTTCACCATGTGGAACAGGAAGGAATTAATTTGAAGTATCCATTGGCAGCAGGCACTATAATACCATACTTCCAAATTAAATGGTAACACAGAATAAGCCTTTCAAACAATAAAGACAAAGAAACGAAGCTGGCATGCTTCAGGCTGGGGGGTACATTTTATTCAGCTTTATTCCTTGTTTAGCCTGTGTTGGTGGAATAGTGTGCCTTATTTACTCTTGCTTTCTGCTTGTGGGAGATGTGGGGGAAATTCTGGGAGAACTTGCTCTCTGGGTTTCCCCACAGAACTTCTTTTTTTTAGTGGCTCAAATGGTTAAGACGCTGAACTGCAGGCTGTGGAAGGTCAGTAGTTCAGCAGTTCGAGACCCGGGTGCCGCATGATGGAGTGAGCTCCCATCTCTAGTTCCAGCTCCTGCCAACCTAGCAGTCCGAAAGCAAGAAATTGCAAGTAGATAAATAGTTACCACTTCAGTGGGAAGGTAACAGCGCTCCGTGCACCTTGGTGTTTAGTCATGCCGGCCACATGACCACGGAAACGTCTTCGGACAGCGCTGGCTCTTCGGCTTTGAGATGAGCACCGCAACCCTAGAGTCGGATTCGACTGGCTTTCGAGCAAGGGAGCCTTTACCTTTACTATCACCCCTTACCAAAGCATCCACACACCACTAGATTCACTGAAAATTACTACAAGGCTAAATTCCTTAAACAAAGTTTGTTTATTATACACTATCAATGTTAGAATACAAGCTACAGAACGTGCACAGGGCACGTTGCAGGGGGACATTCTAGCATTTGAGGGAAAACTCTATGGTAACCATAGAGTTTTTACTCAAATGATAGAGCGCCCCTCCCCCTCAACGTGCCCTGTGTGATGATGTCTGGGTGACGTCATTGTGCTGGGCATGTTGGCACAGACAGGGCACTTTGGGGGATGGGGTTCCCCCATTGGGAGAATGGCAACCCTACATGGAAGCAAGCCTCCCATAACGTAAGAGATAATATATAAAAGCAATACATTTATATCTATAGATAGATATATCAGTAATAAAAAGTTTTGTAAATTGTTTTGTATGAAGATGTGGTAAAAGGTATTGTAAAATGGTGTTAGTATGTTTTATATTTGAAGAATGTTAATATTTGTTTATATTTGTTACAAATGTAAATATATTGTGAGGTTGTGTATATATTTTTGGTGCTTTTATATAATTGTTTATGTTTTGTAGTACAGTTTGTAATTTACTAAAAATTTATCCCCCCCCCCCATTATTATTTCAGTCAGCATCCTGGCTGCAGCATTCTGTACCAATTGAGGTTTCCAGGCACTTTTTAAGGGCAGCCGCACGCAGAGTGCATTGCAATAATCTAATCAAAATTAACCAGGGCAGGCACCACTGTGGCCATATTTTTTTTTCCTGCTCAGGAAAGACTGCAGCTGGCTAACAAGCTGAAGCTGGTAAAAGGCACTCCTGCTGCAACTGCCATCTTTTTATCCTGCAATAGCCTGGGTTCAAGAGCACCCCCAAGCTATGGACCTGTTCCTGCAAAGGGAGTGTAACCCCATCCAGAACAGGTGACACCTTAAATCCTGGTTCCGGTCTTCTGCTCACTGATAGTACTGCTGTCTTGTCAGGATTAAGCTTGCACTCACCCCCAAATTGGCTCAAGGCACTAGTTTAGGGTTTCTAGACCATTTGGTCCCCTGATGCCCTTTGGTTTTATCTGTAATGAACGAATAAAAATTATTCATACGATTTTGGGAGGGGGATCTACATGAGAACAGTTTTCATCTAATCCAGCAAACTGTCTCTTGCCAGTGGGCAAGCTGATGGTTCTAGGTATTTATAACAAATACAAGAGTCTTCATTATTAATTGTCTGATGTCAGTCCCAAAATGTGGTAGCAGGTGGTATGTTGTCTGAAGGTTGCATTTTAAG